CAATTAATCTTTCGAAAAAAACAACAACTTATATTATTCTTCCACAGAAATTTAGGAAATAACTTCCTACGTGCCTTGGAATCTAGTATTTTTGTTGGCCTCTCCAAGCTAAAAATATTGTAAGTATAAGTAATGTTATAAGTGGATTAAGTATTGACAGAAAACTGTTTATTGCGATTTTTAATTCTTTTACAACGTATTTTAGTAGAATTAATTTATTTTGAGCAAAAATTGTTCTATTTGAGCGAATAGACAATTGTTAAATATAATTTTCAGGAGATCTATCAATACTATAAAAAAAATTTAAAAGAAAGAACATGGTTAAATTAGTTTCATAGCAATTTAAAAAGAAACTGATGGCTAGTCTTTGCTAAATTTATTTCGATATATATGAGAGTAATGCTATTTTATGCAACCACCTCTATAAAGTTATTTTACATAACAAGGATCGAATCCCTTTCTTACAACCACTACTGAAGTAATTTCACACAACCATCTTTAAAATTATTTTCCACAAATCATTGAAGCTATTTTGTATAAGCTCATACTTCTCGTTTTATAGCTATTTGGTTTAAAAAATTGAATTTTGAACGTAAGTGAATCAAAGATAGATTAGTACAATCTGAAAATTAACATTCCAAACATAAATATGTTGAATTTAAAAATCGTAGTATTTTTCTTCTTACTTTTGTTATTTTTGTTGTGGTCATAAGATGGTTGCACAATAACCAGTTTGAAGAAGTGCCAGCAAATGCTTTACTTGGATTGTCAAGCCTAGAAGTCTTGTAAGTATCTTGTTCTTCTTTTGCATTAACTTGTAAAATGGTAAGTGTGTATATATTAAAAAAGTTCGAAACTACCAAAGAGAGCTTCGACCTCCCGAGCATTTTGGTTTTTGTTTTGTTTTTAAATTCGCGCAAAGCTACACGAGGGCTATCTGCGCTAGCCGTCCCTAATTTAATAGTGATAGACTAGAGAGAAGGCAGCTAGTGGACACCACCCACTGCAAAATCTTGGGCTACCTTTTTACCAACGAATATTGGGATTGATCGTCACATTATAATGTTCCCACTGCTGAAAGGTGGAGCATGTTCAGTGATGGGAATTCGAACTCACGACCCTCAGATAGCGCGTCCTAACCACCAGACTATACTAGGCCCCTTCCGAGGAGTTGGTCTTCGTGATAGATCACTAATGTTTTTTGAATGTTAAACTAATTTACTATTCATTTCCAAACGTTTCTTGTGAACTTACACATGGGATCAGAAGAGTTTAGAAACAAATTAAGATGTATATTCAGCAGGCAAAACGAAGACTACTGTAGAATAGACATTATGTTGGAGAGATTGAAAGCTGTATCATCTATAAGAATTATATGAAGTATAAAGAAAACGATAGTGTGGAAAAATAAAAATTATTTATTTTAACAGTTTGTGAATTTTTCTGCAGAAGTAAAAACAATGAGAAACTCTTCTGTTTCCTACTTGGTCTCAATTTTCACTTCTTCAGAAATTTTTCTAAATTTAAACAGAACTGCGTCGCTCTTTACCTTTGATATTTTGAGAATCTTGTAACCGATAATTCTTTAGTTTATAATAAATTCTAGATTATTTTCATTCCATAAGTATTCCTTAACTTTTGAAAACCTCTTTCTCTTGTATAACAACGTGATCCTTCAATACACTTAGAGCAGTACAGCATCATTAACAGTTGATTAGTTGCTGTATTTCTAAAGGAATTTACTTGTACAAAACTGATTTGAAGTAGGAGGGAGGGAGATTTAAACGAAAAAGGTTGAAAGCAAAAACTTCAATTTTGCCATTCATCCCTAATTGAAGGAAAGTCAACTTTCCGAAAGTGCTCAGGTTATTGGTTTTACTCCTCTGTTTTTTATCCAAGTGTATGTTTTATATACTGTTGATTGAAAACAGGGTTTACAAGTTAATATAAGATAATTAAAATTATCGTTTATCTTTGTTACTCAGAGTGAAAAGCTTGAGTTAGAAGTAGTATTTGGAATCATAGCAACAACCACATAAATTCTACGTGTAACCAACGCAGGTTTTATAGCTTATAAAGCAGCTAAGTAATCTTAACTAAAGGAAGTTTAGATTAAGCAGAAATAATTTGTGAGAATGTCTTTCATGATGGAAGTTACTTTCAAAGCTAAGTTATGCTGAAACTAATTAAGTCTTTGTCTCCGTTCAATTGATTTAAGCACTTTTGTTAATTTACTGTGGAAAGTGTAGTATTATGCCTAGTTGAAATGAACTAATGTTAGTTGTAACACAATAATATTAAAGTGTCCTTTGAATCTTTTTCGAACGTAACCTAATTTTTGGACCTTTAAAGACCTGTTCATATTGAGTGGACGCAAGAAAAAATAATAATTAATGTTGTTTTTACTTGTTTATTGTTAAGCACAAAGCTACACAATAGGCTGTCTCTGATCTACCCACCGCGGGTATCAAACTACAATTTTTAGCGTTACAAGCCCTCAGACTTATGGCTGAGCCAACATGGAGCATAATCAATAGAACATTGGCTTTCTTTATTTGAATTGTTTTGTTTAAGCACTTATAATTTTGAAGTTGTTAAATTGTCAACATGATTATTTCCAAATGCAACTTCTTCCAATCTTACTAGTTCAAACCTTAATTATCACCAGTACGAGTGTTCATCACCAGGTTTAGACCCTCGTTGCTAAATAATCAGACAAGTCGAAAGAGCGATATTTTTTGTGGTCAACATGAGTGTCGTTAGATAAATATTGGCCCGGCATGGCCAGGTGATTAAGGCCCTCGACTCGCAATCTGAGGTCGACGGTTCGAATCCCTGTCAC